AATTCTAGGTTCTCTTTCACAGGAATATATGAAAATCAAACAGTGTCTCTCAGCTCCTTCATCAATGTATCAAGGATCTGTGAGTTCATCAGTGTGAGAACTCCCTCCACCTGGGTAGATCATAACCTAGCTATAAAAATTGGGCAACTCTTACAAGACTTATAAGGTTCAGATGTTAAATGACTTGTCCATGTGTTACATCGCTAGAAAATGTCAGAAGTGGGATTTGAACTCATGTCTTCTTTAATAGAACTCCAGCATTCCATTTACTATACCACACTGTATCTAATTAATTCCACTATCATTCATTAAGAAGCATGAAAAGTCTCTGTGAGCCAATTCTGACTCTACAGAAAAACCAAAAAGCTTTCAATGAAAATTGCTCAACAAACATGCAGTGAGTAGACTTATTGATTTATATAACAACAAAATTAGCAATATATAATTTCTATTTTTCTTATCTTACTTTTTTAATAACTGGATAATATTTTAGAGGCAAAAATAAGCATTTTGAAAATATTATTGAGCACTGTACATAAGGGCATGGAAGTGTCAAGAACCCCAATCCTGGCATTATATAATTATTATACAAGAATTATCAATTCTTTTTTAATTGAGAAAATGAGACCTTAAGAAATACATCAGAAGCAGCTAGGTGGCGCAGTGGACAAAGCACCGGCCCTGAAGTCAGGAGGACCTGAGTTCAAATACGGCCTCAGACCAAACACTTGACACTTACTACCTGTGTGACCCTGGGCAAGTCACTTAATCCCAATTGCCTAAAAATAAAAAAAAAAATTTTTTAATACATCAGAAGGGGAAGGGGTGGGGGTAACATAGTGAAACTGTGTCCATAACCATCTCTACAAGGACAAGGGAGAGAGAGAAAAGAGTTCACAGAATTGTGGAATTTTGAGCCACAATCAATCAATCAGCATTTATTAAGTGCTTACTATATATGAACCAGGCCTTGAGGCAGGCACTGGAAGAGACCCCAGAGATTACCCAGTCCAATTTTCTCATTTTACAGATAAAGAAACTGAGGCCCAGTGAGATGAAGTAACTTGTGTAGGGTCAACCCATTAGTCAGTCAACGAGCAGTGCCAGGCACTGAGCTAAGCACTTGGTGATACAAAGAGAGGCAAAAGATGGTGTTTGCCCTTGAGGAACTCACCATCTAATGGGTAGTAAAGAGGCCGAGCCAGGATTTTCATACAGGCCTTCTTATTCCAGAAGTAGTACCCTCTTTACTAAACCAGGGGATTCCTCTGCATGATTTGGAAAAAGAAAAACAGAACTAAAGTAGAACGAGGTTGAATTACATACTTAAACAGTTGTTTGGATTTAAGCTTTGAGATTGATTTCTTAGCTTAGCACCTGCCTGGCACGTAGTAGGTACTTAATATATGTTAATTGAATTGAATTGGATTTCTGATTGATTTTCCCAATGACTTGCCTTTCAGCTGGGAATTGCTTTGTTCCTCAAGCTCATGTGTGTATTTACATGCTGTTTTAAGAACTTCAATGTGAAAGGCCGCAAATGGAGAAGGGTAGAATGGTGGAATGGTAGATTGAGATTTCCTGAGTTTATTTTCCTCTGATGTTACGAAGCTGTCCCTAGACAGTAGGAGGCAGGGTGGTACCTGAGTTCATGTCTTGCCTGTGGAATTTGCCTGTGACATTTACCTGGGTCACCGGACAAGTCACATTCCCCTTTGGGCCTCAGTTGCCCCATCTGTAAAGTGAGAGGGTTATGCTAGATGGCCTCTGAAGTCTCTTTAGCCCTAAGTCTATGTTCTCATACCGAAACTATATACTATAGAATGTAAGCTCCTTGAGGGCAAAGACTGCTTTACCTCTGTCTTTGTATCTCCAGTATCTAGCACAGCTCTTGGGGCACCAGCAAGCACTTAATGAACATTTGTAGACTGATTGATTTATTGTTAAGTCTATGAGCCTGTGATCCCATGGCATGTGGGGAATCCCAACTCACATTGTTGGAGGGAGTCTCTTGCCTGGTGAAATCACAACTCTTTTAATCATGGAGAAGATACAAATCAAAATGCTAAGTTGTCTGTTTCCAAAAAGGATACAACTCAGGTGCTTTAATGAAATTCATTAAAATAGGGACAGGTTCAAGCTAAATAAAAAGCTATTGAAAATGTTTAACTGTGCTTTTTTTCCAAATTAAAGTGTGATTTTTAGTGACCACACATAAATCAAGCAATTTACTATAGAATTACGACCAACTGGTAACACTAATTTCAAAGTTAGATCTCTATATACAAGGTGTCCCAAAAGTATTAGTGTAGTTTTAAGCTATTAAGCTTAAAGAGTAAGATTTTGGTGATATCTTGTATTATATATGTGTGTATACGTATATATATGTGTGTGTGTGTGTATGTGTGTGTATATATACACACACATACACACACACACACACACACACACATATATATATATATACACACACATTATACATATACATACACACACACACATATCATATGGGCCTCCCTATCTCCACCAGGCTCAAATGCAGTCACCACTCACTGGCCCAGTTCCGATACTAATTCATATAGCTTTAATCTTCTCCATTTTTCTGATCTGGCTGGTTTGCCACTTGTCAGGCAGCTTGGTAGCCCTCTGCTCTTATGGGCTCATCATGTTAGTGTCAGTCTTAGCTCTGGTTTTAGCTGTATTATAGCTTGGAACCCCTGAATTCAGTCATCCACCAGCATCAGCCTCCCCAGTGGCAAAGATTACAGGTATGTACCAGCGTTCCTGGCTTCAGTGTTAAATTGAGGTTAATACTATATTCAAGTTATCCTGAATTTTTTTGAGGCGTTCGATTATATTAACACAGTAGCTCTAAGGCTTTTGAGAAGTGAAGCAAGCTATAGTCTTTGACTTGGTTACTAAGGTAACCAAAACATTTTCACTAGAGATGGGATTAAGCTGTAGCTTAATGGGTAGAACTGATTGGTAAAAAGGGAAGTAATTTCTAAAGGATATTCATATAATCAAAAGCTCTCAGAGTTGCAAGGGACCCAAAAATTCAGGAGTCATCTAGTCCAACTTGTACTTAACCAGGATTCCCTATTCTGTGTCGTGTGTGTGTGTGTGTGTGTGTGTGTGTGTGTGTGTGTGTGTGTGTGTGTGGCTGTGATTGTGGTTTGTCCTAGTTCTCAAAGAGGACCATGACATCAGAAAGATGATGCCGTGACTTGCAAGTCAATAGGTTTTAAGCGAGGGAGGCCTGAGTCTCTACTTGAAGATCTGTAGTGATAGGGAACTCCCTATGTCCCAACAAAGACTACAACAATAACAGCTAGCATTTGTATAGCACTTTAAGATTTTCCAAGCACTTTGTGTGTGTGTTGCCTTATTTGATTTGATCTTCATAACAACTGTGAAGTGATTGCTATCATTACCCTCCTTTTACAGATGAAGAAACTGAGGCTAAGATGGGTCAACTGAATTGCACTGGGTCATACAGCTCATAAGCATCTGGCGCAAGATTTGAACTCAGGTCTTCCTGACTACAAGTCCAGCACTTTATCCACTGTGACATCAAGCTGCCTACGTAACATTCTGAGGTAGGTCTGATTATTAGGAAATTTTTCCTTATAGCAAACTGAAATTATCCTCCATGTAAATTCTACTCCTTCAAGCAAAATAAGTCTATATCTTATACGTGATATCCCCTAAAAATATTTCTAATGTCATCAGGCATGCCTCCTATAAATCTTTTTTTGTTCTCTAAGCCAAATATTTCTAGTTCCTTCAACCAAACTTCAAGTAGCATGGTTTCAAGACAGTGAGTGCACTATGTTGGTTACCTTTACTTTTATACACTCTAGCTGATAAGCTTTGGATGTGTCAATAGACAACATCAAGGACATTGATAAATGTCCTTCCTATATTATAGCACCTAGAAATGGACCAAATATTCTAAATGTGGTCTGATTAAGGCAGATTATAGTGGTACAACTGATTGATTCCCTAATTCTGAATCCCATGCTGTATTAACCTAAACCCCTAAATAGACAAGCTCACTGATACTCAGGTTCAAGTGACTGTCCTGTGGTAATGGAGTTAGCCCAACAATACATTACAGCCCCCCCAGCCCCCCCCCCACATGCATCTATTAATTCAACCCAAGATGGCCCTGCTAATGTGTCACCCTGCTGACTCATATTGAGCTTGAAGTCTACTAAGAACCTAGGGGTTTTTTTCCTATGAACTGTTGTTGATCCATGTCTCTTTCCCATCACGCCATTTCTATATGGATGCCGCTGATATTTTGAACCCCAATGTAAAGCTTTATGTTCACTTCTATTAAATTTCATCTTGTTAGATTTTTACCAGTTCTTTCACCCAGTGCATTAGCTCTTCCTCCTGGCTTTGTGTCATCCACAAATTTGATGAGTCCACCATGGTATGCAGAATGGAAAGAAAGGTGGATTTGGAATGAGAGGTCCTGAATTCAAGTCCCGATTCTCCTATTTTACTACTTGTGTGATCTTGAACAAGTTACTTGAACTGTCTGGGCCTCTGTTTTATAGATGAGGCATCTACAAAATGAAGATATAATAAATGACTTCTTAAGTCCTTTCCAGCTCTAAAACTATGACAGCATGATTTATATTTTTGTCAAAATCATTGATAAAAACATTGAACAGAAGAGATCCAAGGGAAAAGCCCAGTAGCACTTAAGCCAAGACCTCTCTCCAGGTTGATATCAACTGACACGGGCCTTGTGGAGCTGCATCTTGTTAAGGAAAAGGGTGGACTGCATGACCTCAGAGCGATATATAAATTTTTGTTGTTCAGTCATTTCATGACCCCATTTGGAGTTTTCTTGGCAAAGATACTAAAGCAGGATTTGCCATTTCTTTGTCCAGCTCATTTTACAGATGAAGAAACTGAGGCAGACAGGGTTAAGTGACTTGCCCAGGGTCATACAACTAGTAAGTTCTGAGGCCAGATTTGAACTCAGGAAGATGAATCTTCACACTCCACTATGCCACTTAGTTGCCCGAATGTATGTAAATACAATACATTTAACCTTAAGTACCAGCCCCCCCCTTTTTTTGTAAGTAAGGCCTGTGATTTCATAGATGTAAGGAGCTCCTAATGAGGAACACCCTCTACCAATACACTTGTCTTTCATTTGTAGTCTTAGAAAATTCCCTATTGCACTGAGAGATTGAATGACCCACCCAGTGACACACAGCCAGCATGTGTCGGAGGTAAGACTTGCATTCAGGTCTTCCTGACTACATGGCCAGCTACCTAGCTTCCTCTTGCCTAGTTGGAATATATCTAACCACAAAGATGTTTATTTCCTTCAGATCTGTTATTATCATATAGAAGATGGCCAAGAAAAGATAATTAGTTGTTGGCTCCGTAACGATACATTCTTGTACTTGATGGAGCACCAGCAATAAAGCACCAATCAGCAAACACATATAATTATTTCGCACAAGTTCACACACAGTACAAAAGAATGTGAGCTGGAATTATATTTAAGTTGATTCCTCTGAATCCTACATTTCAGGAAGCTGGTATTACCAATCAAACATACAACTTGTGCAATGGTATAAAGGTATGCCTAGGTCTCCTTAGAAGGAAAGACAAAAATATTTCTATGCTAAGCAGAGTATAAATTGGGTGCCGGTTAGGGGAGTGAGGGAAGCATAGCAATATCTTCCAGATGCCAAGTAAGGCTCATAAACCCATAGGTCTTACCTGGGCTATTTGCTTCCTAGTTAGGAGATCCTTAACTTGGTTCATCTTTCTGAGAGAATGGGTCCCAAGACCATGCCCACTCTGGGTTGTGTTTGGCTTAACATTGAACTTGGGTGAATTAATATGGATACTCCCAGGAAGGAGATGATCTGATTATGACCAGTTCATTCAAAAACATGAAGTTTTTTACATAGAGACAGAGAATATTAAAAATGGAATAGATTCCAAAGAACTGGCATATGTGACAGAAAGCTAATAATATTTGTCAGAAAAAAATAATTGTTTCTTGGGGAGGGAGAATAACGGAATTTCTACTTTGAGAAAAAAATAGCACCTAGTAATACAGATTAATACAGTGTTTATGCTTCTTGGGTTCTCAGTATTTCTCAGCTGACCTATTTTAAATACTGTCCGTCATGGTTTACCTGCTTTTGCAGATAAGTTCCACAAGTTCTATGGAGTGTCCATTACCTTAGATACTAACTAGAGCAGAACCCTAAAAACATATCTATTGAGAAACTACCTATTATTTCAGTTTGAGGCTTCAACATTTGCCTAATATTTTTAAGGCAGAAGGAAACACATTGACTCACAAACAATTTAAAATGACCACAATTTAAAGAAAAGTATAAACTTTGGCACTGGAGCACCTGTTCCATTTTAGTAGCTATACCGACTTAAAATTCTCCTTTAAAAAATTATGAAAATATTCTCATTGTCTTTTAGGAATAATTTCCAAAATGCTGAAATGCTGATGATAGATGTCAAAGTCAAACATAACCTGAGATGAGGTGCTGTTGTAGTAACTTGAGATTGGTTTTTGCTGTGTTTTGGGAATGTGGCTTTTTGGGGTGGGCACAGTTAGCCATGAGTACAATCAGCATCATTTCCATGGATCCACAGGCAAATCTGTGCATACTTAAGAGGAGTGATGCGTACAGCAACATTATAATCCTTCTGGACTCCACTGACATCCATCTGCTGGTGGCCTGAATAGATAGCAATGATCTTGCGCTTCCACTTCTTCTTGTCGGGGTCCTTTAGGCGGAGATAGATGCCAGAGCCTGTAGAGCCAGGCTCCGCATCACAGTACTGGTAGAAGAGGTCATTGGATTCATCTGACACGCTACAAAATCGGTAGACCAGCTGCCCAGATCTATCACTGTCAAAACCTGAGAAATGAATCATACTCCCAGGCATCTTCTTGATGGTTGGGCTGATGCCCAACTCCATATACTTCTTTTTGTGGGGCCGTTTCAATTCAAGAACAGCGTAGTCATAATCCAGAGCAATATTTCCACTTACTCCTTTAACCCAGCCTTTGGGAATGTGGGTTGCCTTGACCCTAGTCCACTGGAAAGAGGGATTACCCTCAGAACCTCTCTGACCCTTTCCTGATTCTTTCTTTCTTCTCCTTCCCTTGGATCTCATATTCAGCTCCTCTTGGGTACCCTGTGGTGGATCTACATACTCAGCTTCTCGTCGACTCCTCTTAGAACCTCTGGGTTTCTTGCCATTCCTCTTGGACCTTATCTTGAGCAGACCCACCCTTAGTTTTTTGCCCCCTTTGACATAGTCCTGTCCATCATGAATACAGTGAGCTGCTGTTAAGACATGGTTAGGGGAGACGAGAATACCACTACAACCTGTGGAGAGCTTCACCGCTGTGCTGAAAGGGAAATTGGTTACGAATCGCTTGTCCAAGATACTGAAGCGACTATCAATGCCATATACCTGTCGCTTTCTCCTGGATGTTATTTTTCTTGTCGTGTTCTGAGTAGGCTCAAGCATCAGTCCCTGGACATTGACTTGGGTCAAGGTTCGAGTGCCATTCTCAAAGACAGTCTCATAGGAGAGGGACTCCTCCAGCTCAGAAAGGCCTGGCACTGGTAGCTCCTTTTGGCATTCAATACCACATATTCCATTTAGCACCAATTTGGCATCTGCTTCAAATTTGGGGCTGGAAAGATGAAAAGTTCTTTCGCTGACTACCCGAGGTATTTTTTGTAAGTGCCAGGTAAAATCCTGTTCTGTTTCAGAGCCACCGATGATGGTCCAAGCGGGGGTAGAAAAGATCAGCCAGAATAGTAGATTTTCCATTTTGATAGTACAACTCAAGCTAGTCCTTCAAAAAGAAAAAGACAAGGGTTAGTTTTTTATTGTCTAAAGATACTCATCAAATTTCACTTAAAGATAGCAGCAACCCCACTTTTTCACCTTTCCAAGTATGTTGAGAGTTTATAAGTGATTTTTTTATTTGTCTATCTGATTGCTGGCCAGAAAATTAGTATACTTACAAGTTAGAGATAAAGCATTATCCTTTTCCATGGATTGCCCCAAAGCACCAAAGAAACACTCATAAACCCCCTTCCAACATCATAGCACAGGGACCCAGCAATGGTAATCTGAGGTACTTTCCTAGATCTTTTATAGCTCTAGCTCCAGGGGAGTAAAAATAAAATTGCTGGGGTCCCCAAGACATCTCATGAATCAGCATTTGAGGTTCCAGTGCCTGTGCAGGGATCTGGAACAGCCACAGACCACAATGTTGTTCTATGACCACTAGGTGGCAAAATTTGATTTTTTTTTTCATCAGAATTAAACCATCTCTTGTTTGCAGTGTTGATGTTTAATAAATAGCAATATAAAAAATATACCCATACCTTAGTCCTTCTGTATGCATTATAGGAGCAGAGATACATTGTATAATGATGTACACAGGGGTCATACTGTATCACCAACGTTCTGATATTATTAGAAAAATAAGTCTAACAATAAAGCTGAGCTGGTAGGGACGGAAAGAGCTTGGGTACACGCCGGGACACCGGGAAGCAAAGCAGAGACTGACTTTAGTGGGGTATCCATGTACTTAAGCATTGAGGAGGATTACTCCTCTCACACATCTGCTGACGTTGCAGAATGAGTATGAGAATGGCGAGAAAAAGCAAAGTAGAGCTTTTGTTGTAGAAATCACCGATGAAGCAACAACAAACATCTATTAAGCCCCCACTATATTCCAGGCACTCTGCCAGGTGCTGGAGATATTTTTAAAAAGAGACAAAAAATAGTCCCTGAGCTCGAGGAGTTTTTATTCTGTAGAGTGAGGTAATATGCATGTGTAGACACATACACACACATAGATAGATAGATAGATAGATAGATAGATAGATAGATAGATAGATAGATAGATAGATAGAAAGATAGAGACAGACAGATGAAAAATACTACCTAACTATATCTATATACATATATGTATATATGCATGTATGTCTGTATGTATATATATAGATATGTGTGTGTATATAGGGAAAAATGCAAAATTAATAGGAGGTAGATTAGAGAGGAAGAGAGCAAGGCAGCCCTGCTGTAGTGGTTTCAGATCTATAGATGCCTTCTTTTCCATGTAATTCTTTGTGCTCTGCTGATACATCTTTCATCCAGGGAAGGCAAGCAAGAGGGCATATGTAAGGTGTGTTCTTCTGGGCAGGCATTGTGAGTCTGTCCTGGAGAGCTATCCAAAGATCCCAGCAGAAACAATACCAGTCAGTGGTGGTGTGAATGCCACCATCAATCAATCAATAAGTATTTATTAAGTACTTGGTAGTGACAGACGCTTGGCTAGGCTCCAGTGATGCAAATAATCCCAACTCACAGTGAATTTACATTCTAATGAGATAGAGATTCAGTGAGTGCTGGCTGATTTGGCTTCTCAAGCCTGTTTCTTTCCCCTCAGACTGAATCCATGGCAGAGGATGGAGACCTTCTCAGTACTGTTAACACAAGGGCAAGCAATGTAGCAGACACATGGAGGTGTGATTGGGATGTCACAGTACCAGAAAGCTCACGGCTGCTTCTGTACCAGCAGCGCCCGAAGACGGCCAGTGTATTTGAGAGTGACAGAAGGTTGCTAGCGTTAACACAGTCATAGAACTTAGATTTGGAAGGGAAGACAGAGATAATTTAGTCCAGATTCCTCATTTTACAGGTGAGAAAATTAAGCCCTGGAAGGCCTAATAGATTTGCCCACGGTCACACAGGCAGTAAAGAGCAGAACCAGGATTGGAACACAGTTCTTCTCACCCCAAAGACCATAGCAATCCTATTTTGTCTTTCAGACTTGTCTTTCTCTTGATAGGAAGGGATGAAATTTAGATATTTCTTAAGTAAAAGATATATTTAAATAGAGATGTATAAGGATCACATGCCATAAGGGACAAACAGGGGCTTAAATCACAGGGCAAGAGTGCCTTGGGAAACTGGACAAAAGGCACAAATACCTCCCTGCCAAGAAGAAAGAGACATGAAATCTTCACTAGAAACCCTCCTAGAATGTTAGAGGTAGAATAATAATTAGTAATTTGCTCACTCCCATTTCTATAGTATTCAAAGCCATTTTTACACAACAATCCTGTGTAGTAGAGTGTTATAATTCTTTTTTAAATTTTCACTTCAATTATAAAGTGGCAAAATAATTATAAAAACACAGGTATTATAATTCTCATTTTACAGTTGAGGAAAACAAGGCTTAGAAAGGTAAAGAAATAAAATTGCTCAGACTTACTTAAATTCTTAAATTATCTCATTCAATGCCCGTAACAATGATAGAAGGTAAGGGATACAGATATTATTATATACAGTTGACAAATGAGGAGGCTGAGGCTCAAAGAAATTAAGTGACTCAGTCAGCATCAATCGGTTGATAAGTATATGAGTTAAGATTTAAATCCAGGTTTTCCTGACTCCCTATCAGTCATTCTATACACTATGCCACACTGGCTCTAACACGTCTATGGTCACAAAGTGAGTAAACTTCAGGCACAAGATTTGAACCCAGGTATTTCCTGACTTCACAACACTGGCTGTCTTCTAAGGATTACTAGAGATTATCTTATCCTGCCTATCTCTAAGTCTAGAATGACCTTTTCTTAAATAAAGTAATGGCTGTTTGTGATAACTGTTAGCTTTTCAAGGTTTTCACTAACCATCCTTTTAATAATTCCATTAGGAATTGAAATCAAACAGTGGACTCCAGTTTTCAGACTATTCCATAACCTTTTTTTGAAAATCATAACATGCGCTCTTTTCTGGTCCTCCAGTGCCTCTCTCTGTCCTCCATGGTGTCTCAGCATCACTAACGGGGGCTTGACAATTTCAATCACCAGTTCTTTCGGTATCTCAGCATACAGTTTATCAAGGCAAGGTGACTTGAATTCACCAAGGGTGGTTAGATGCTCCCTTGCTTACATGCAGAGCACCAATTCCCCATTAGACATTCTTGTTCTTTCCTCCAAATGTCCAAAGGGAATTCTCCTAGCAGAGAAAACTGAAGAAAAAAACTGAACAGCACTGCCTTCTCTATTGCTATTTATCATCATCCCATCCACCCAAAAGCCATGGTCCTCTTCCTTCCCTGAGCCTTCTCTTTTCTAACTTAAAAACAACAACAACATGTCCTCTTTTTGATGTCCTTAGCTTTCACGTTTCAGTTCATTCTGAGCTTTAATGCTTCTAACATTATTCTTACATTGCCGCATTTTTGTAGTCATCCTCTGTTACTTGACTTTGTTTGCATCTTCTGTACATATCTTCAGAAAATCTAAATTCATTGGTGAGCTGCCTATACAGCCACATCACTTCTTGTTCATCAGACAACTCATGTTTTTTCTCTTTATTAGAATTACTTTTCTTAATGTCTTCAGAATTTCATCTTTGGACGTTTCCTATTCAACTTAGGCTGACTTCCCTTAAAGAAGTTTTAGTCCATAGATCTTCCCTATCCTTCCTTTGAATCCTTTGAAATCTGCTATCTTCAAATTTAGGGTGAATAATTCTCTAGTTTTTCTCTCTTCTACTGCCAACTTTAGGAGGGAGTGGATTATTTGGTATCAGTGTATATTTCTTTGTCTTCCTCTTGGTAGGAAGAAGTGAAATCTAAATGGTTAGTGATTAAATAAAAAAAAATTTAGATAACCGTAAGTGTGTAGTGTACCAAAACTCTATCACACAAAGAAGAGGAGTTCTCATTAGCTGAGTTGAGTCAAGCATTGTAGACTTGATCAACTAGTTTAATAGGGAGCATCCAGAAGGACCAATTCCAAATTGGCTACAGGATGGTGTTGGTAGTGGTATTTTGGGGGTAGAAGAGTTCACTGCTCATGGGGTCCATGAGGAAAAAGATGCTTCTGACTGTGAAAAATCACAATGGGCATAAAGGCAAACTAGATTCAAGGACAGTAGCTATAGAGAAGAGCATAAAAGTTAAGTACTACCCAGTCCAACAATGGAGAGTTTTATTTTTATCTTCACTTCTAATTATCTTGCTGCGGCATATTATTTCTGAATTTGTATACTGTATTTTCTTTTCCCTTATAAATAAACTTTAGAAAACATACTCTTGTGGTCTGGAGTTTGTGGAAATGGAGTAGAAGGGAAAGAGGGAACAGATGCCAGAATTGGGCATCTAGTTACAGTGGCAGGAGAACAAGGGAAAGGGAATGATGGATTGGGTACACATCTCCAAACCCATGGAGCTAAGCAGCTTCAGGACCAGTAGAATTCAGGAGAAATTTTGTCTCAAGGTGGAGTTCAGCGATCAGGAAGTGGGGGGTGGGGCTGGGGATAGGATATTATTAAGTAGTCAGTGGTGAAATCACTGGAACCAGAAGCAAAGAGATGCTGGCTTAGATGGGCAAGGCCCAGGGCTGATTCCCTCTTGCTTTCTTCCTTACCCTACAAGTCAACTGCACTGTTTGCTCTGTTATGGTCACAGGTAGAGCAATGTTGTTAGTAAAACTATTTTATGTAAACATTCAGCAAGAAAACATTGGGCACCAGTATATATGCCCAGGAGTGTTCTGGATCCTGTTCTAACATTTCCTGAGAGACAACTGCTAAATTTTTGGGGTGAGCATCTATTTACAGGTTGGAAATTGGCAAATGCTACAAACAAGGGCTTTATTTATTGTTTTGCTGATTGTCTCGACTTTATAAAATGATGAAGAAAATGAAGGTTGAACTTAAAAGTATGACGTAAGCACATTTTTTTCCCCAGAAAGCAGCTAGTAAACATTTATCAGCGCACTCCTGCATATTCCAGTCCCTTGGGGGTACAGAATCAAATTTAAG